GAATGCCGTCAGGTTCTTTGCCAAGAGGCCTGGACCTGCCTCCACTCAACATACCTGAAAGGTAGGTAAAGTCAAGAAAGAAGAACTACCCTATGGTCAGCTAACAAACTTATCCTCTTGTTTCTCTGCAAGCTTTGTGGATTGTTTAACTAGTGGGTGTTAGCACTCCTTTGCTGATCCATTGCAAATCACTCAGATATTTATCAGGAGGTCCCCATCTAACTTCTGCCTGCCCCTGGTTTATGGTGATCTCTCCTGGTCCCTGGCAATTGATGTCATGGTCCAAGCTCCAGATGGAGACTTCAGAGACCTTCAGATAAACTCAGAAGCTGGTTCCATGCAGACAGACTATGTGAGAAATGATTCCTTGGATTAGCTGAAAATATCCTCTCACATGAATTCATGTTTAAATACAAAGGTGGGCGGATGGGGAAAGAGCTGGGTTGATTTCTCTGATTCTGCAGCAGAACACTCCCTGGCCTGCTTTCCCAAGTACAGTCTGTGCTTGAGAGCTGGGCCAGTGGTGGCGGCATCTCTGGCTTGTGTGTGTGTATTTGTGGTTCAATAAAAGGGCATGGTAATCATTCACCGGGAAAACAAGCTAGTCTCTATATTTAGTTAGCCGTGAGAGCTGTATGAAAGAGCCCCCTATTCTCCATTTTATTCCCCCCACCCCCAGGCCATGAGTTAAAGATCAAAGTACAAAGACAGGTGTTCCGATCAATTCTCAACCTGTATCTGATGAGTAAGTGGGAAGGGCTATACCTGCAATTCAGCCACAAAGCAAGGGCCCAGCCTCAATTCCCTGCATTTCCAGTTGAAAAGTTCACATCAGAGAACTCACCAGGTGAGCTGGATGGCTGAGTGGGGGCCAGAATACACACCACCCGGATGTCGCTATATTGCACAGCTGACTTTTCCACCTTGAACTGGGGTGGGAGGGGTGTCTTATTTTTCATACCAGGCAGCAAAATATCTTTGTCTGGTCCTGATCCCTCCCAACCCTCAGCTCAAGATTGCCACAAGACTTGAAATTCTTAAAGTAAGTCCTCCAGGAACCTTCAATATTAAGAGTTCCATTAGGGTATCCAATGTGTCTACAATACCATGAAACTCACAGGCCTTTGCAAGTCACTTTAGCCTGTTAATCTACTGCTGATCAAAATGGTCTCTGTCTCCATCATGAGAAAAAATATACCAAGACCAGGCCAAGTGTAGGTATGAATCTGGTTCTCATGGCACGGCCCACCATGGGTTTCTTGACAATGAAGAAGCTGCCACATGTGCTCAGCACCTTAATGAATATGCAGCCCCCCAGCCTGGGGTTCTGATCCTGAAAATCCAGCCTGAAACCTACAGCAGCCCTCCCTGCTGATAAGGTAGGACCATGCAACTCTTGTGGGTTATTCAGGTCATGGTGGCCTATCATATGAGAAGTTCTCAGTGAGGGTGGCCATGTATCCTACCTTACAGAGGACAGCCTTTCATTTCAAGGGTTGTCAAGGGGCATTTTAAGACCGAAGAAGCACTGAAAGGATTCTTTGTGGCACTTTTCAAGAAAAATAAGAGGCCTGGGAGGAGGAAAAATCCTTTCCAAAATGCATTGGGCATAATAAATGCTCTTTTTCAAACACCTGAGAATATTTTATTTTCTGTTTTGAGGCACATAAGTGTTTTTTCTTCTTGCTGTCTGCTTAATTTTTTGAGGCCACTAAGTACATGTGTATTTTGCATATGAGCAAGAATGCAGGTTTAATAATAAATTGATTATTCACAGGTGCGCAGCTGTGTGGGTGTGCAGTGAAAATAACAAACCACCCCTGCATTTCCTGCCACAAATCCCGTTGAACCCCTTGCAACGAGAAAGCATGGAAGGGGGGGAGGAGGAGAAGCCTTGCGCCACTCTGGATACTGAGAGGCCGATTCTACCACAGTAAGAGCATCATCTTGTGCACAGCTGCTCAGAAGCAAGCCCCTCTGAGTTCCGTGGGGGTCACTCCCAGATAAGTGGCCAGAGGATCGCTATCAAGTCCAGAAAGGTTGCCCATGGCCATCCAGATCCAGAGGGCAATGGGCGTGCTATACAGGGCAGAAATGGCGCAGAAGCGAAGGTCACCTTCATACCTCTTTTGCCCTACAAAACACGCGGACAGCTGGTTTTGCCCCAGCGCATGAAGTGAGGAGGCTATCAGGTGCTATCAGGCTACAGTGGATGCAGACCGAGTCCTTGCCTGCCAGGCCCCAGTGAAAATAGCATGGAGGTGAGGAAAGTAGCTTTGGATGTTCTAATTCATAATGATTCTTTATTTTTTTCTCATCTCCTGTGTAGTTTAAGAGTTTAAAAATTAAACGTAGACTAAGCCCACTGGCTGGGCATAGATGAGATCATATCCATTATATTTATTACATTTAATGAAATTAAGTAAAACTTTTGCCAGCCTTGTAACCAGAATGTTTTACTGTCCCCTTTATGTGATATAAGCATTGAACTCTATTTCAATCTAGAGGAAGTTTTCAAGATGCCTTTGATGTTTTCCTTATCATCTCAAATTACTTTTGAAACGACCAGGAGGAAGAGATCTGTGTATTACTAGTTCATGTTACTGTTGCAATTAACATGGCAAGGTTTTTGGTCCGAGCGGTTCCTCCACGCACTTGTGACTGGAGGGGTGAGTGTGAAAGGAGAGAGCATGGGATTTTTCTTACAAGCAAAACCAGTGGACGAGAGGAAGAGATGTGTGGAAGAAGGGGCAAACAGGTTAGAAAAGGAAAAGAAAGGATTGAGACTATTAAAAATGTATCTTGAATGGTAATATGCTCTGGAAGAAATGAAGCATTTCCTTAGGATAAAATGTGTGTCATTTAGAACTGCCTTTCACCCCACTTCTATGGATGCCCTCCCATTTAATGAGATATGGGCAAAGGAGTACAGGAAGAATAAGCCAGAGTCTTACATTTCCTTATCTTTCCATAATTTGAAATACTGCTGCATCAAAGTACAATTTCTCCTCCTGGTGTGAGGTGTGTGCACTTGGAGAAGAGAGCAAGTATTGTGTAGTAGCTAGGGTGCCAGATTAGAACTGGGCGACCCAGCTTCAGATCCACCCCCCAGCCTCCCGCTGCCTCTCACTTTAATCAGCCTCACAGGGTTGTTGTGAGGATAAAAGGGAAAGGGAGGCAATTCCCCCTCTCTCATAATACTAGAATCCAAGGTCATCCCATGAAACTGCCTGATGGAAGATGCAGGGCATAAGAGAGCTTTGGTTATTGGCTGATATTGAAATGCAATAAACAGAGTATTTCTCCATACAGTTCATAAACTGTAGAATTTCCAGTTATAGAGATGGACACCAGTTTGGATGGTTTTACAAGAGGATTGGATAAATTAATGGAGAAGGCCCTCAATGGCTTCTGGTCCTGATGGCTATACTACCTCCAGAACAGAGGCAGTGTGTTTGTTTATTTATTTATTTATTTAAACAACTTATATGCCGCCCCATCGCATGAGCCTCGGGGTGGCTTACAATCATAAAATCATCAAATAATTAAAACACATAAAATAAAATACATAAAATAAAATAGTGGACCCAGCCTGGTCAATTTAAAATAAACCATTAACAGTTAAAATAGCATTTAAATAAAAATGTCTTGGCCTGGCCTTTATATACAGTAGTTGCTGGGGAATATGGGTGGGGAGGGTGCTGTCATCTTAGGCCAGCTGGTGGATATTCCACAGGCAGTTGGTTGGCTAATTTGTGAGCAGGATACTGGACTAGATGGACCCTTGTTCTGATCCAGCAAGGTTCTTCTAACGCTCTTGGACCTTGTGCCGCACTGCTGAATGAGTGAACCAGCCCAGCTAAAAACCTTTAGTTTCTGAATTATGAACCACCATGGCCATTCTTACGTTCCCGTTGCACCTTATGACTTCTGAGCTCTCCTTAAGATTTGGGCAAACACTACTGTGGGGATGAGCTTAACCTGAAGTTTTAACTTTCAGCAAGAATTTGTACTGGAAGAGAACATGGATCCTGTGAAACTTTGGAGGCCTGTGGAGCACCCCCAGTCTATTCAGAGAACTGGCATAGTCACAGAAAAGTGGAGCGTAAGCTTTCTTTCAGTTGTTTATATTCTGCATATTTCATCATGGCCTTCAATAAGCTGTGTCTCAGCTTTATGGTTTCATTTCTTCCTAAGCATCCCTAAATTGACGGTGAACCTGGCCCCTGGGGTTAGAGCACCACTCCATCCGAGCTAATCTGCTTTTGATCATTATAATAGGAGAGGAAGGATGCCAGGTTGCAGTAAGCAGCTTCAATGCTGGCATGCCTGTGGCGGCCCAGGTGCCAGCTCCAGGTTTGTTTGCCGTGCTTTCCATCATCTGATGCTCTTTGCATGGTCATGAGGGAGCAGCAGGGTCCTGGACTTCAGCCTCAAGGTTCAGACCTGCGTGTGTGTGAGAGAGGGAAGAATGGGGCGGGAATCCTTTCTGTATGTGTTGCAGAATCCTAGTAAGAGACTCGTCTAAGAGTAGCAAAGCTGACTCCAGGGTTTGGAGCACCCTTGGAAGCTGCCCTCAGTGGGTCTGCTTTCCGGTCAGCTGGTGCTGCCCCTGCCTGCTTGCTTGCCGGGCAGAGAGCCAACGAGCCTCCGTTACACCCAGTTGAGAGGAGGGTGGACCAGCCAGTGGAGAGCAGTATGCCCAGCCTGGGCACCAGCTCCCCAAATCAGCCAGGTTTTGTAGCAATGCGCCAGTTATGCAAGGCAGCAGAAATCTCAGCATTTGAGGAACAACGCACCTCTCATACTGCACAAAATGCCACTAGCATGCCTTTTGCGAGCTTTTTTTTTGTCTGCTAAGTAGAGGAAGTGCACCCACTTCAGCCACAAGAGGGAGCCCAAGAGAGCTAACAGAAGAGGTCTGACAGAACCACCGCAGGGACTTCTTAGCAAGTAGGTACGAGTGGCAAAGAAAAGAACAGTCTCAGATCCCAGAAATACTAGGTTTTTATCTTTTTATTTAATTCATAACTTCAACAAAATATACATTGCAACATCAACCCCTTTAGAAATACAGTATCATAAGACGCACAACATTCATTCTGAGTGAAAACTATTTTTTCTCCTCCTAGCATCTCTCTCTCTCACACACGTGCACTTACAAAGTCTTCCTAACAAAGCAGGAAAATATGCAGCAAGGAGGGCTTATGACTCTCTAACATCAGGATTGCTAGTACTGTACAGTGAAGATTAAGGTCCTAAAGAGACATACTTAGGAATAAGCCCCATGGACATCAGCAGGACTTACTTCCAAGTAGACACTCAGAAGCGCACGCTGCATATTTACCAGATTAACAAAACTGCTGCTTAGAATTGCTACAGACTGAAATCAAACATGTCATGTATATTTAAGTGGGAGCAAATATTCAAGTAAAATGCATCGCCTTTCTCTCTCTCTCTCTCACTCACTCTCTCTCCCCCTCTCTCCTAATTCTGCAAAACAAGAAGAAAAAGAAAAACCCTGGCTGGGATGTATTTGGGCTCCAATTGTAGCTGCACCCGCTCATGCGAAAGATCCAGGGAGGGCTTTAAGTAAATATAGACCCTGCTCTCCCCCTGTTTAGAGGGTAACTTCATTGTCCTCGATGCTGTGGAAATCTTCAACACTGTGGCGGTCCTCAACACTGTGGCGGTCCTCAGCACTGTGGCGGTCCTCAGCGCTGTGGCGGTCTTCAACGCTGTGGCGATCCTCAACGCTGTGGCGGTCCTCAACGCTGTGGCGGTCCTCAGCGCTGTGGCGGTCCTCAGCACTTTCGAAGGTTTGGTTGCTCACATTGTCAACATCGTGGTCATAGCGTACCTGTTGCAGCTCCACACTGTAGTCCTTGTGTTGCTGTCTGGCCTCCTGGCTTTCCAGGGAAGCAGCCATCTTGCTGTTGTCATGGTAGTGGTCATCGCGGTCGTCCTCCACACTCTCAAATTTCTGTTGGCTGTCATTCTCCAGGCTCCTGGGATGGGATACACGCTGGACTTCAGCGCTGTCCCGCAGGTTACTTACATCTTCTCTTTCTATGTCACGGCTTTCCAAAGAATGGACCTTGGAGGAATAGGATTCACGGCTGTCCACATCTGGTGTGCTGTCAACTTCATCAGAAACATCGTGGGAATCAAACTGAAAAGTCCACAACAGGAAAAGAGTTAATAGTCAGCTCGAGATTTTGCTCTCTGAGAAGAACAAGATGGTGCTCCTTGGTTTGCCTACAGAAGCTGACCAGACAGATGGCTGAATCTTGCAGCAGTGCTAGTGATGGGTCAGCATTGTTAACCCTGACAAGTTAAATTGCTATGAAAGAGTCAAAAGCATAGTGTTCCATATGGGACCTATACATCATTCATTCATTTATTTAAAGTTTTTATATGGTCTCCAATACTAAAGTCTCTGGACGGCTTACAAAAACCAAACAACCAAACAACCATATACAACAAACAGCACACAAATTTATGTTTCTTAAAGGAATAGAAAAAGTTAGCAAGTGATGCCTCTGTTTTATTTTTAATCTATTTTTGTCTTGAGGAATATGAGGGAATTTCTATTTTCTGAAACTTCTAAATTTAAAAAGAAACCAGAGAACATTTCTGTCAATTATTTCTTAAGCCAGACAACTCCATTTTTTTGTCTTTCCTGGAATTTCAAAAACGTTTGCAATGTCTCTCCATCAGTAGTATTTTTTTAAGTCGAAGCATTTCATCAAAGAACCCATTTTCTTCCCCTCTTTGGAACATCTCGGTGCCTGTTTCAGTCGGCACATTCAGAGCAACTGGAAGTGGCACTGCGCAGGCAGTGTCTGAATATCCGGCTTTCAGAAGCTGCTTTGATAGACGGACACATGTTGCGCCAATCATTACTGTTTGATGTGGGCAGATTAATAGATAGTGAAGAACTTGGCTGGGATTTACAAACAGCATTCCAAGCTCTGTGCATCATTGCTGTTCATAGGAATTAAACCCTGATGGCAACAGTGTAAGGAATACTGAAGCAAAAATAAATGTGCATGATCCCTATTATGGTAGTTGGGTTATATATTACCCAAAAGATCCATTTTCTGGCTCTTTTTACTCAAGGAGAAGGAAAACTTTTGTTACTACAGGAAGGTTAAATGGATGATGTCCATGAAGAAATAAGTAGGCTTCTCATGTACAATTTTCAGAGCAGGTTTTATGCTGACCTTCATGGTAGGCCAATTGCATAGTCTATAGGCAAGGCTTACTTTTATTTACTCTCATATAAGCACATTCAGCCCTATTTGGATCAAGACCACCTTACTCCAGGAAGGGGGAATGAAACTTCCCTCTGTGATAGTTAGCTTCCCAAAGAATTTTTTAAAAAGTCTACATTCCTATCAATGGAAGCTTTTTTCCGTGTATTAAATCCCCCCCTCCACATGGGAGGGGGAATTTCAGGAAGCAAATGGTGGGGGAAGGGAAAGTTTACTCCTCTGTGCCTGGAGCAAAGTTGTCCCAATCCAGTTCGGGGCCATGTGCGCATACACTGGAGTAAAACAACACATTTGAGGCCGATGGGTGTCAGGCTCATTGGGCAGCTTAGCCTCTCCAGCTGCCAGTCTGGATTTTAACCCCCCTGAGCCTGCTCCCGAAATAGGTTCAGCATGATGCATGGAGACTTAAATGTCTGGACTGACGGCAGGAGTGGCTGAGAGCAAGTGCGTTGGTAAGAGTGTTGGACCGGGCACCTGGTGATCTGTGCTCCAGTCTGCACTTGACGCGCACTGGATGCATTTGGGTCAGTCACTTACTCTCCGCTTAAATTACCTCTCAGGGATGTTGTGAGGTTAAATGGAGTAGAGGGAGGCTATGTAAGCTGCCTCGGGTTTCTCACAAGAGGGGAGAAGGTGCGGTATAAATGCAATAGAAAAACAACACACTGCCCAAACGACACTGGAGCCGACACTCTCTGCTGACCAGAACGATCAATATGTACTTTGGGTCTAAACTTTCCTCACGGATATGACCAGAAGAAGCAAACCATCAGGAGGCACTTGCCTTTCCAGACTTTTTGTGTGCCTTCTTGGCCTTCTCCAATTTCACCAGGTCCACTTTTGCTCTGAATCCGTAGGGTGCACTGTCTCCTCGGCCTGTGAAAGGATCAGGGACAGAAAAAGGCAGAGTAAAGGGAGTCTCGGTGGGTGATCCTGTGGTGGTGTGCTCATCCGATTCATCAGAATCGTGGTCGTCGTCATCCACATCGGGGTGATCGTCGTCATCTTCTTTGCTTCGGCTGGAAGGTACCAAAAGGGTCTGCAGGAGGATAGAAACCACCAGGTAGTACAACGTGCACAGGTGTGGCAGTATTGAGGCCGGGTGCATCCCAGCAGCAAGACACATACAGAGAGTTCTCAGTAGTTTAGTTTCAGCACCAAACCTCATTGCTGGAACATTGAAGGTTAAAAAGGCAGTGCTTCTGAGTGTACTTTGTTCATCACTAGGCAGCAACAATTCACGAGTGCCATATAGCATTTATTTGACATATGATGGGACTACGGGGGTGGGGTGGGGTGGGGGAATCATCTCTTGGATATAAGAAGCAAATTCTTTGAAGCTGAATGGGTCTTACTCTGAGATGAGTGTATATAGGGCAGACTGTAGCTGTAAGAGACTATTGTGGTAGATTTATGCATGCTAAAAATCAGCAGCTGAAGCCCCCTGGTGCAAAGCTGGATCACAGAAGGGCACCAGAAAATGTCAAAGGCCAGCAAGGTACTGTGGGAAGTGGTGTTAGGAAATCCTCTCTTCCCAAGGTAGCTTTCAGCAAGACTCTTTGCCTAACAGCAGCCATGTTTGGCTGGAACAATGGCCTTAAAAAGTATCTCTACATTAAACAGTACATTATGTTGTATTTGTAGTACCCCCACACTGAGCAGCGTCCTTCAAGGTCTAAGGATGCAATGTGATGGCTGCTGGACACTTTCTAGATGGCCATGGGAAAGATTGGAGGTCCAGCAGAAGTCTGACCTCAGAGTGCTCTACTTCTGCCCTTGAAGCTGGCACAGCCCTTTCTGTGACAGTCGTGGCTCTGAGGACAGAGGATTGACCTCCGAGCTGGCCCCGTGGCAGGACATTCCAGAGGGCAGAAAGGAGAGGAGTGAGCATCCATCACATGCAACCCAGCAGGGACTCAGACTCTCCCCTTCCTGGGCAGGACATAGAAGGCCAGAATGGGTCATCAAAGTGCTCCATGGGGCAGGACAAGTGTAGAAGTGTCTTATATCCCTCCACATCTGGAGGGCATCCGCATTGGATTGTACTGCCCGAAGCTTTAAAGGACAACAACCAAACTCCTAACTATCACAGGGTCACCACAGTGGGAAACATTCACAAACAAATAATTTTCAGAAAAATCGGGTAGTGTTTATGTCAGAAGGAAAGCTGTTACTACAGCCCATCCAAAATCCATTTCACTGAAACATACATTCCTTTGCCTATCTTGAAAAGCAAATCAGGTTGTTGTTGTATTTGCACTTCTGCAGAAATACTGTCTTCTTGCCAATGATTAAATGTGTTGGACTTCCATCCTCTTTTTCATATGGACACCCCAATCAGTGCGTCACACCTAGGTCCCCGTATTGCAGGAGACAGAGCAGCCCGCCAGTGGCGGGAAGAGGCAAGTTGCATTTGACCATAAATGTCTGACTGAAACAGTATTATACAGAAGAGCATGTGCAGCAGCAATGCAGCAAGGAATACCATGCACAACCCGGCATTAATAGATATGAAAAGCTATAGGATAAACATGTACCTGTTGCTCAGTGATCTCATCACTTTCTTCTGATGACAGAGAGCTCTGTAAATAAAATGACTATTTTGTAAAGGTTTGTTTCTTTGAATGGTCTTGGTGTTCTTGTTTTTGTTTTAATAAAAAAGTAATCTCAGAATTACTTCTGAGAACAGGCATTTCAAGAACAGTCATCCTTAAAAGAAAGACAGACCCAGCAAATGTTCAAATGATATTGATTGGCAATAAGATTCAGGATGGACAAAAAGCCATTACTTCTTTGGACACTGCATCATTCAGCTAAGAACAGAAGAGCGCAGCTGGATCCAGCCAAGGGTCCGTCCACTCCAGCATTCTGCCCATGAGGGCCAACCAGTTGCCCACAGGAGACCCACAAGCAGCACATGAGTCCACCAGCACCCTCCCATCCATGTTCCCCAGTAACTGATACACAGAGGCATTTAGCTTCTGACACTGGAGGTAGCACATGGCCAACAGGACTAGTTGCCAGTGGTTATGGAAACTGATGCTGCACAGTGCAGTGAAGAGGGCCTCTGCCTTCGATGTTTCGAAGAGAGGGTTAGACAAATCTTGGAAGTCTGTTACAAGCTTTTCCAATCTGTGACACTCCACATATGTTGGATTGCAACTCCCATCAATCCCAGCCGGATGAGGAAAGTGTAGCCTGTCATTAGTTATTAGTCAGGATAGCTAAATAGAATTTCCCATTTTTGAGGCCATGATCCTTCAAGGATTGGCTGCTGGTGGACATAAAGAGGGGAGAAGCCATTGTTTTGTGGGCCTTCTGGAGGCATCTGTCTGGGAACAGGATGCTAACCCATGGAGACCCTTGCTTTGATCCAGCAGGGTTCCTTTCCCCCTCCTTTTGGTCAAGTGAGTCACTGGAGTTTGGGCAGGAAGTCTAGACACTAGGAACGGGGATTATGGGGAATGAGGGATGGGAACACGGAAATTGTTGCTGTCTTGTTAAATGACTGAAGGTCCATAAAAACACAAAATGAACAGAAAAGTGACTGAATGTAAAAAAGGCCAACACTAATTCTAGGCACCAGCGTGGAGTCTGAATGAAGCAAATGTTAGTCATAACGAAAGTGCATTGGTGATGTAACTGAGAAAGCAAACCTGTGGCTTCTACAGAGTGTCTGAGGGCTGTAGGGTATTTCAGTTCATACATCTGAGGTTGGAGGCAACACTCTGACTTTGCTCCAACTCTCTCCCTCCACAGAATAAACCATGCCAGCTGCTCTTGGAAGCTGGGCAAGCAACCTCAGAGAGGGAGAACCTGGAATGGTTCAGTGGGCAGAGAGACGAGGCTACTGGAGTGGCCAGGATACAAACTATTTTGAAACCTCTACAGCCTCCTTCACTCCCTGTCCAGACACTCCACCGGGATGGGCAAAAAGCGTGTCTACTGAAATACGCCGGGTGCAAGGGTGAGGGGGTGAAGATCGCCTCTGTTGCCACACCTGCTCTGCGTAAGATGGTCATAAGCCTCTGAGATCAGGGGCTTGCTGGCACTGCAATAGGATTGTGCCCTAAGTTATTCCTGACCAACTTCTCTTTTGGATCCCCTCCGTCTTTTACTGGAAGTTCCACCACATAGGTGTAGAGGACAGTTCAGTGACCAGGAAGGGTTTCTTACCGGCTGGGAGAAGGCCTGCTGTTCCAGGGACTCGTGGCTGTTCACAGTCTCGTGACTGTGCTCATGGCTGTGCGAATGGTGGTGATGGCTCCGGGAATCCTGCCACAGTTCAAGAGCCCAGGTCAGTATTCAGCAGCATGGCACACCAGCATTCAGTCAGTCACAGAGCATGATGCACACAGAAGTGGGGGAAAGGGCTTGATAAATGATGCAAATTGCTGGAGAGTGGTTGGTTAATTAGGGGAATTCAGTCCCTTTCCTACTGCACAAGCCAAAAAAGTCCATGTGGGAATTGCTTAGGAAAGGGATTGAAATACGGCAGCAAATGTCCTCCCACCATGAGATCCCGTCTATGGGATGGCCACACTGGAGTTGTTTTGTGTGCAACTCTGGTTCCCTCCTATCCAAAGGATATTGTGAGTGCTGGAGAAGATACCGAAAAGGGCGACTCCCACCACAATCCCAGGTGTTTATTCAGAAGTAAATATCACTGTGTCCAATAGCACCTGCTCGCTGGAAAGTGTGCATTGGATAGCAGCCTAAAAAGGATATGAAAATATTCCCTATGTGAAAGAAATGAAGGAACAACCCCATGGAGCTAGACATCCTTTGGAAGGCCATAGGGATGCTTTGGATTTCCAGGGTGGAGTTTGGAGTCAGTCCTCCAGCTTTGGAGTTGGGAGTGAGAGCTCTGCCCACCTTCCCTTGCTCTCCAAGGTCAAAAAGCAACCTCAGAGGGGTCTGCACTGGGCCTGGAGGAGAGGAGACCAGCCAGACCAGGTTGCAAGCTATCCTGACAGCTCTCCAGCCTTTTCTCCTCCCCCTCCAAAACACTCCAGCTGGACAGGGAAAAAGCCCATCTAGCAACGATGCAGGGCAGAAGGACCTGGAGCAAGGACCACCCCTGCTGCTCTTCATAGCTTTTGTGTAAGTCTCCCAGTTTGGGAGGTGGGGTGCACAAGCACCCCAGTAGGGTTGCACCTACAGCCTTTTAGTGTGCCTGTGTGTGGCGGGGGGGGGGGAGCAAAGATGTCTCAAGAGAGAAATGAGAGTCAAAATCATAAAAAAGGACTCTATTTTGGGTCAGATTTGGATAATAGGTGCAGAGAATCTGAAATCACAGAATTCATCCTATACAGAAGCTTAATAAATATGGTAAAAGGAATTCACTGAAGTGAGAAGGAGCAGGAACAGAAGGGGAGGGTGAAGAGACTTACATGTTTTCTTTCATCGCTCCTTGAATCATGATGGTGCCTTGATTTACCGACCTTTGCAAAGGAAGGGAAGAGGGGGAGAGACCGTGTGAATTCAGTGCTACCACATTATAGATATATATTCTGTTCTTGGCCTGTTTATTGATTTGCATTGTACTTACTGGTAGGGCAAAAGCAACGGTGAAAAGACACAGGCAGAGCACAGCGATCTTCATGGTGAATATTTTGCAACAATCAGCTAGCAGGGCTGCTGTTGAAAAACAAAGCCAATGTTTCAATTCACTCTCTGATTTAGGGACAGAACAAATGAACACACAGAGCACATGGTGAGGACTTCTTGAATGGGGCCAAATCTAAAGGAATGCTTCTTTCTGAATACACCTGCCTGGCCCTTAAGATCTTCTATGGAGCAACTTCTCAAAGAGCCCTTTTTGAGGGATGTGAGAAGGGCCAACTCAGTGGTGGCACCTCAGTGGTGGAATATGCTCTCTGGGGAGGTTCGGCTGCTGCCTATCTATTTTTTCTGGAGCAAGTACAAGACCTTTTTATTTAACCAGTATTTTAATGTAATATATATTAACGGTTAATTTTTAATCATATTGTATATGACTTAATTGTATTTTAATCAAGCACTGTAGATTGTTTTGATTTTTATTGATGTAATCCATCTAGATATTTTCTATGGAAATATAGACAGTGTAGAAAAAAATTAAATCAATTAATTAATTAAATAAAGTAATTGCAGACTCAGGAGCGAGTGCTTCCCACATTACTGCCTTTTAAACTGTGTAGGCACTTAAAGGTGCAAATCTAGAGCTGCCAATGGCATACCATTTCTTCAGCTATACCTTCCATCATCCCCTGTTCAGTTTTGCATTAGAGGCAACTCTCTGAGCTGGTTTCTATGTGTGACTCAGCTTTAGGAATGCAGCTTACAAACAAAACAAAAACAAGCAAACACAAATTCTCTAGCAAAGTATTCAAGCAAGACAAGATTTGTGCTGCTAATGTTTCCCGAAAAAGTGTTCTGGGCTGTGGCCAGATAATAATCAGAATAATTGTTCCGATGTGATGTTTTCCCTTCAGAGAGCCCTCCTCCGGTGCTCTTTCTTGGAGGAAAAATGTCACATCTAATCAGAATCCGGGCCATTATTTCTGCTCTAGGCTACCACTTGGCAGAAGTAATTTGAGCAACAGGATATTATTTCAGGCATCCTGCATGAGGCGGGGGGGGGGGCTGTGGGGGGGGCAGCTAGACTGACTCCTCAGTTCAGCACTTCCCTTCCTTCCATGGAGGGAGCGGCTCTTGTGATGCCCTTTGCAGAGGAGGTGCCCTTGATGCGCCCTGTGCAAAGCTGGGCTTCCAGTGGGAAAAGGAGCACAAACAGCAAACGTGGTACTGCAGAGAGGGAGGCACCAGGGTCCAGCAGGTGCCGCTGGCGTGGCCAGTGCTGGGTCTGGCAGTTAACGACTCTTGCACAAGCCACCCCAAGTCTGCCTCCCCACTGCTGATGTCACCAGCCGCCTTTGCACAACATCCTCTCGGTCGGCATTGAGGCCTCTGATGGTCTCGACCGGCAGAGAGCACGTGAGCCCGCTCAGCAGTGGCGCCGCTCTTCCTCCAGGGGGCGCTTGTCAGGGGGCGTTGCCTGGGTGTGGGACTTGGCAGGTGCCCAGGCACAGCCACCCAAGCTGCAGGCCCCGGCTGCTGCTGCGCTCCACCCGTGCCGTTGCTTGCTCACCTGCCCTGTCCCAGCAGGTGCGCGATGATGGAAGGGAGGAGAGGAGCGCCTTGCCCGCTGCCCTCGGGCTGCGGTGCAGAGTCAGCCCAGGAGGGCAGGGCAAAGGGGTGGGGTCTAGCAACGAGGAGGAGGAGGAGGAGTGGAGGTGGGTCCCAGAGGCGGTTCTGCTCCTCTGCAACAAGCGATGGACTCGCTAAGCAGATACGGCAGGGATTTTCATGATGTTTATTCTGCGGGGAAATGCGTCAAGCCCTCAGTGTCCAGTGCAGCATCTGAGCCAAGCTGTCTGCCAATTCTTCAGGTTTATATTAAGGAGTCAGAGGCCCTCAAAAATGCATTAGGAATTAACAGGAAGGCACTGCAGTACAGTGCTCAGAGTGTTAGATGGAGCCTTAGGGGGCCTGGGTTCTAGTCTGCACTCAGCCATGAAGTTCTCTGGTTGCCTGTGAGTAAGTCATGGACTCCTAGCCTAACCTACCCCACAGGGCCATTGTTGTGAGGACAAAGTGGAAAGACTTATAAGCTGCTTGATTCCTTGCAAGTAGGAGAAAAGCAGGGTATAAAAGTATAAAAGAATAATAACTGTGCGATGCCAGACTTGTTTACGCAGAAATCATTCCCATTAAATTCAATGGAATTGCATCTCCACTGAAAGCACTAACAGGGAGCATGAGTTTGCAAACCAAGGATTTATTTTCCTTGCATATCTACTGCTGCCCTGCCGTGTAACATGTGGCTTGGCTCGCTTGCTTCTGCCATCTGGAGCGATTTGTTTAGCAAGCATCTTTCAACTCTGCTCATGAACGTTGCACCTTGGTGCTTTGGATTAGATAGGGTAATTGAGAGAAGAGTGGCAGAAATGGGCTGAATTCCATAGGTCCCAGTACCTTCAAATTCTATAAGTCATTCCAGAACTTTCCACCTGCTGTGCTGAATTGCACATCACACTGATAGACCAGTATTCTGGTAGGATAAAAATCCTAGATGAAACCCTCTCTTACAAAAATGATGAAAGGAAAACTGTTACAAAGTTATGTGGAAAGTGTAAGGCAAAAAGGAGACATCTTCCATGGGGTTTCCTAAATGAGCAGATTCTCTCTCTCTTTCTGACTCCACCACCACAACGTAATGCAAAGAGGAATGTAATTCAAGCAGAATTTCAATTGTGAGCCACCACAGGCTTTGTAATTGATCTATCCTTTCTTCCAATCAAAGGCATTCCAAGAGAACAAGCAATCTGGACGGATCATATTGCTCAGTCTGACATTGCAGGAAAAAAAATGGTGAATCAGGCTCAGGGGACATTAGAAATAGATGAGTCATAATGGAACGTTGGGTGTTAGCAGGCAAACTGGTGGAAAAGCTGGCCGACGTCACTGTGCACTGCCCTTCTGCTTACAAGGTTAATGAGCACTCGTGCTAAGAGAGAAGATTGATGTGAGCCCGTTGCACCAAAATATGCTTGAGTAAAACTCTTGAAAGCCGATGCTTTTTCAGCGATTAAATTGCAAGGGCAATGTCACTGGCCATGAGCTCGCTGATCATTTAAAAGAATCTCTTGTTTGGAGCTGACAGGGCTCGACTTGTGCCTTATCCTTCAGGGTTCTGATCCCAGAAGACCTGAATCGGGTATCAGATGAGCACCCTTGAGCATGTACAGAGTGGCTTTTCCATCGTACTGAATAACCACACTCTGCTCCAGCATCACTGGGACTAGGGAAATGGAGAGGCAATATTTCTCCCGGCACGGCTTTTCTGCACATTAGACATTGTTCGGCTGCTTAATACATCCCTGATCCTATGGCCATTCTAGTTTCCAGCGCATAGAATCTGACTTTTTGGCAGGTTTGTTTATTATGCTTTTATCTTGCCTTCCTCCAATAGTCCAGGACAGCATCTCTTGCCATCTCTCTCCCTCTCTCTGTCACACACAAACATGCACATGCTATTCTTAGGCTGAGAAGCAAGGCTGGGCCATCAGCCAGCCAGTTAGTGGGGATTTATACGAACGCCACCCAATCCTAGTCCAATAACTGCTACACCGTGCTGAGCTTTTCATGGCTTAATCCTTAGCCTGCTAATATCAGACATGTAGCACTAGGCATGGTGGAAAACAAACTGCATCTTGTGCCAAAAGTGGTGGCACTTGAACAGGACAGTGGTCAAGCTCCAGAAGATGAATTTGCATTTTTAATTGGCAGGCTCTATTTGGCAGAGTTCTCCCTTGTAAACCACTTCCTCCCCGCATTCCTAAATATTCTCCCAGGTGCATGCAAAAGAGACATCAGAAATTAAATTCCTTGCTTCTCCTTTTTCCCTGCTGTGATGCTTTGAGACTGCAGGAGTTTATATATTTAAAAGCCTCCCTTAAGTTTGGCTGTGCTGCATTCTACTGAACAAAGATAGAATATTGCTTGAAAGTAAGAGATCTAAGAAAAAAGGGCAAGGTACCTTGTCTTGCGTCTAGATGCAAAGTGTAGACTCAGGCAGAGGTCTGCTGGCTTGTATGGTGAAGCTCAAGGGAATATCTGGATGTCTCGTTCAGGAGATGCTGCTTTCGTCCTTCTCCTCTTCTGCTGCTTTCCATCTGCAGACCTCTGGAATTTAAACTCTAGTCCAGACATCAGCCAGCCAATCACCACAAGCTGGAAAGGATGAGGTCATGAGGTTTCTTGTCACTGTCCTCCCACTTTTCTCCTACATTTCCTTTTGGGGTTTGTGGCTTCTAGAGCAAACAAGAAACTACTCTATGGTTAAAGTGTTACTTATGTACAATCTCCTTAACCCGCATTTCAGCTTGATGCCCCAATGTTCAGTTTTCTTGAGCTAAAGGCTTTAGGGGCAACAAACTCTTTGACACTTGCTGGAGGGAGAAAGAAGATTGCTTGTAGCTAATCTTTTTCCTTCAAGGATGTAGAATAATTTTATTTTAAAAGGAATGGTTTATTACACAGTAGGGGTTAGTTACTCAGTAGAGGTCAAATCTAATCACTCACTGATGGATTTAGTGGGGTTGCACAGAGATCACTGGGAACAGTGGAATAGGAATAGCATTTCTGGAACATATACTATGCAACAGCCAGTAATTAATTGTATGAAAATGACATCTTAAATATCCTATATTTGAGGAGTTTGGAAGGAGGAGAAACAATAACACTGCTTTTTAAAAAAAGCTACCTGCCTTCTCTCCCTTGTGAAGTAGCCAGTCTCATGACAGATTTGATTGCAAGATTAGTACTAGTTCACAAGGTTGGCTGTCTAATTTTGCAGCCATATTGAAAACACATATTCCCATCTGCCAGTGGTCTCAAGTACATCCAGCTCTTCTCTATTCCTCTTTGGCCCACATCCTATGTTTATTAAGGGGCCTTAGTTGTCTTGAACAGATTGGTACATGCAGTGCTCTATCCATTAAGACCACTGAACCCCATTCAGTCTGAGGGCCAAATTCCATTTCAGGAAAGCCTTTGAGGGCCACATTCCAGTGGCAGATGGGACCAGGCACAAGTGAAATGTGTGGCAGGCAGAGAAAATATTCATGTATACCAGTATAGTTTAGCTTAAAGCTCTTGTGGCCTGTAACTAAGCCTTAGGAGAGGCATGTTAGCCTCTTAGAATGGGGGAAAACTGTTCAAATACTGTGAAACCACACAATGGCTGTGTTCAGACAACTTGACAAGCCATGGTGAGTTTTTTTAAATCATTGCTACTCTGTTGCATTGTCTGAAACCTATCATGGTATTTCATCATGGTAAGTTTGGTCTTTAGTAACTGCAATAATAAACAATGGTTTGTTCTCTGGTTTCTCTGTACCATCATGGCTTGCCATGTTGTCTAAACCAGGATCATGGTTTGTATGGTTCTGGTAAGCAACTGCCACAGAGTCCTCTGAAAAGAGTGGGCACCAAATGCAGCCTCTATGTGTGGACCAATGAGGAAGAGGCAGGCAGCATGGGTAGGGGATTGAATCTCAGGTGCATTAGCAGATGGGATACATGCCAACCGTGGGAGGACTGAGTAGAGACAATGGAAACCATGATAATATAGTAACCACTTGATCGTCTGTAAGGTAGATCATGGTAACAAACTGTGAACCATGGTAAAAACACTTTGTGAGCCCAATCAAAGACTGATAGTTGGAGTTAAGGGAGTGGGATAATGGTATGGCCTTCCGGGGAAACCCAGAGGGTCAGATTGAGACCCAAGCAAGGCAAGATTCCCATAAAGGGAAGCCCCTATCCCTGCATTAGGAGATCTAAGCAAGGGTTAGCACTCCAGCCATGCATTTCTGTGGCAAGCTTCTGGTCTAATCTAGTTGCCCCCCCCCCCACCCCATGGCTTGCTGGTGAGCTTGACGAGAAAATTAGTAAAATCATTATGTACAGTACTTCTACAAATCAAAATACATATATATGTACATTTTTCCTTCTCTTCAACACTAATAGTATTCTCAGAGCCAGTGCTATATGATGAAAGTCATGGGTCATACAACAATCTGCTGAGAAAGCCTCTTTAATATTTTCCCCCTAAGTGTGCAATCCTCCGTATGCTTAGATGGAAAAAAAGGCCTACAGTTCCAAGCATGTCCCAGCCTACGTGCACTGAATTATGAATCCAGCTTGGCTAAGGAATTGTTAGCCATGTAGATGTTCTGTCCCTGGTGAGAATATTTTCATATTTGAAGGACTGGCCCATCCAATCCTACTATAAGAACCACAGAATGTCAGAGCCACAGAGAGACCTTGGAGTTGTCCCTCAATGGTTAATACACAGACAGGCAGAGATGGATGTGTTTTCCACTAGGGAGAGATATATTTAATTTCTAAATGAAAATCATAGTAATTATTTCCAGATTTACAGTTATCTCTCTTAATCACCATAGCCACTTTGTATGCAAATATGTGCCGTTTGTCTCTAGTTGATAGAACTATATTGATTTAATCTTTAGCCATGCCTTGGAGTTGGAGCATTGCATGAAATATCGTATTCAAACCAGCCCAAGCGAGAGTTTCTTTATGATATCCAGGCTTCACCAGAGGCTAGCAGTTGTCAGTGCTTAACATACTGTGGGCAAGAAGAAGCTTCAAATGCAGAAAGGGGAGCACGTGGTTGGGCATAGATTGCCACACTGCAGCATCCATCCGCCACAGGTGGTCTGCCCAGCCAATGGGGATGGATGACGGGAATTGCAGTCCAGCAGTTTCTGGAGGGACAGATGTTCCCCATCCTTCGCTCAAACCACTGCATCTTCTGCTCAGTTTCTTCCGCTGTGCACCCACTTCTGCCATCTTTATAGAGCAGACAATATAGTAATGAGCTTTTCAGCAATGTGTCATTGATTCTGCTCTCATTTTTCCTTATGGTTGTTTTCAGGTTCTTAGGTCCTTGGGTTTCACCTTGGTTTTTTAGGAGCACTTTCTCAGTTATTTCTGTTTGCTTGTTTTAGAGTGTGGAAATGGAGTAATATTTGCGAAATGGAAAGAATTTCCCAATTGTATATTTGCATCATTCCGTCGTTATTTGTTTTTTGGTGCCAGGCAAAGACCTTTTTATTCAAATGTCTTTTTAACTGTTAATAGTATTTATTTATTTTATTCTTTGGCCAGGGCAACTTAATTTATACTGTTAATTTATATTATTTTATAAATTATTTATGTTTGTGAGCCGCCCCGAGGCTTAGGCGAATGGGGCGGCATAGAAGTTTCCTAAATAAATAAATAAATAAATAAATAAATAAATAAATAAAGCATTTTGCCACCTAGAGGTTAGTAGGAAGGGGGGAAAGAAAAAGCTTTTTGTGGAGAGCAATTCCACAAAAAACTGAAAGTAGATAGCAACCTTGTGTAGAAAATGAATGAATGTCACTGAGTGTGGATGAAAATCTCTCCTCTTTTGTGGGGCCATAAGTCTCCCACTAAAAATGTGTGCATGTCTGTGATTTTTGGAGACTTTCAGGGGACAGACATTTCTTCTGTGTTGGGGGGCCTACCACGCAGCAGAAGATTGCAATCAGTCTTTCTCTTAATTAGTAAAAACAAACAAAAAAAGTGGCTGCCATCTCTTCGCATTAGTGGTGCTGCTGCTGTAAGAGGCAGCTAGGTGGCCTTTGGCAATGAGAATGGCCCAACTGGACTGCTATGATGTCATAGCCGGGGGCAGCCATCTTCCTTTTTCTTTTACCTAGAATGACCCATTCACAGCAAGAACGTTCCCTGGCTGCTGCTGCTTATTGCTGGTCAGACACTGCTTGACGTAGTTGTAGTGCTTTTTTTAAACCAGTCAAACCAGGGATGCAGAACCCAAAGCCTTGGGGCCAAATCCAGACCCATGTGGTTTCCCAGTTGGCCGTGCCCCTTTCCCTGGGCCCACCATCTTTCTGTTGACCACCAATCACTGACTGGTTTCCTAGCTTTTCTGAAGCTCTCTCCCGTTCTAAAAGGTCGAAAGTACTCTTCTAAGGCTTTAAGCTAAAATATCCTGGGTTTGGTTTTGGCATATTGGCTTCAGCCACCACTAGAACATGGCCTCTGTGACCTTCTTGGAAATAAGACTTGGCCTTCAGGACCACAGCAATCTCTGGAGGCTGTTCTCCCCTCCTTGAAACACTGAAAGCTGCCTGTGCCAGTCTAAATGTTGCATTATGGCAGATTCACGAAGAGAGTGAGCAAGGCTCCAGACAGCAGACGGCAGTGATGGCAGCCCATGATTCTGCACGATCTCCTGGCTTGAACTTCATTGGCCTGTGAGGCTGCAGTTGCATGGAAGCCAACTAGCCACCAGAGGGCTCTGCCTGCTCCTTTTTTCCCAGCCCCACCTGCCCATGCTGAGGTGACCTTGCTGGCAGACAAGATAAGGGGTGGAGGGAAACCAATTTGGGACTCTGTGTTTGGACATCGGGTTAAGGGAATCAATTTCTTCCCTTTTGGGTAGGTGTGGAGGGAAAGCGTCAGCAGATTTGAAAGTCACATTCGATCTGAGTTTCTAAGAAAGCAATGAAAACAGTCTGATTCAAGAAGAAAATTAAAATCTGGGTTTAAAATGTCACTTGGCAACCACCAAGTAAATATGGTCCCTGTGGTCACAGCTTTCCAAAGCAAAGCCATCTGAGGAGTAAATAGCAGTTTACATGAAAAACAAACCAAAAAAAAAACACCCCAAAATATATTTTCACAATTGCCGGCAAGCTATCTTGCTGTAACTGGTTGAGAAGCTTGGCCAGCAAAGTGGGGAAGTGGGAACAGCCTTTAAAATCATGGATAAAATAGTCTCAACTTCTTGCTTAAATTGCTCATCAAGTAGGAACCTGAAATAAGAAACATGTTTATCGACTGAATTACATTTTCCTAGAAGGAGGATAGAAGAAAACGGTCTGTTCCCGGTAGGAAGGGACACATGCAGTGCAGGGCAGAGATGACAGTCTGCAGATACCACTGAGAAGAAGTGCTGCTGAACAAAATAAGGGCCAGTCTGCTAAATGTCTGAGCCAGCATTTCCAAATGAAGGTGTAAAACACAACGAGGCAAATTTGACTTGTTTTCAAGTGTCTTTCTGAAATGGAAACTCTATGTATATATTTATTTGGAATTGAAGAAATGTTAAGACAAAATTCCTTAAGGGCACCCTCCATGCCCCTTCAAGCATCTGTCCTATCTCTTCTGTGCCTCCTCCTCCTCCTGGGCATGTGACCAGGATCTTTCAAGATCATTCCGCTCACCTTGACATGGGATGTTTTGCTTCATTATTTTTTTTCGGCAAAAGTGTGACGTAAGAAAGAACGTCTTACAAAGCTCTTTACCTGAAAGTGGGTCTAAAGGTTCAAAACGTGTCCCATGCTGGGGTGGGGGGTGGGGGGGCAACAGGAAATAACACAAGCAACCCTATGCAAGTTCAGGCAGAAAAGGGGCCTACAACTCCCAGCGTGCCTTGGCCAACTGGACATTTACTGAAAAGAATCAGTGACAAGTGGGGGAGCTTTTCTCCTCCAATGGCCTAGTCAGACATCAGGGACTTGATTTTTGATGAAATCATAAATCAAATTTTGTCAGCAGCCTTATTATGATGAGAGGGTTGAACTAGTGAAAGGGCTGAGATGGCCACGTGTCCTCTTTAACAGAGGACAGTCCTCTATAGGGCTGTCCAGTCCAAGTCTGGTTTAAAGGTAAAGAAGGAAGAGCCTTGGAGGATGGTAGAGAAGGCGAAGGAAGGTAAAGAAGGAAACCTCGAGCAGCATATAAATTAGGGTATGCAAATATTCTGCATACTTGTATCCTCCTGCGTCTTCTCGTTTGGTGATTCATAAGTGGTCCCTCGCTGGTGTGTGCCTTGCAGTGCGTAAAAGGGGCTCATTAGGCTCGGACCTAAATGTCTTCTCTTTTGCTGGCAGAGAGCTGGCTAGAAGTTTTCCTTTCATTTTAATGAGAGATGGGTGAAAACAGTTAAATTCTAGACAAAATGATGCTTCGAGTGAGAAGTGTCTTTGACAGCATTTCTTCAACTTGTCCGTCCTTTAGTGTCTGCCATTGCAGTTGCAGTCTGCTTGACAACTTGGATGCTCAATTTACATGCATAATGTATGGCTGCCATCTAAAAAAGTGTAAAATTCAAACCTCAAACACAATGAACCTTACACAGTGCTGGCCATACATCATTGTTCAGCTTTCAATGAAAGAAGAACTGTTCATAATGTTTGCTTCAGCTGCTTGCATGAAATGACAGCCTACCTCAACCCTGAACCCCCAAACCAGGCATCTCACATGATCTCAAGGGTTGTCATTCCTTAGGTTTGCCTTGTGAGATCCCATATGCTTCTACAGAACCCTCTCTGGATTGCAATTCTTGATCATGTTAAAGAAACCAATTAGGACAGATGATATATATCACAATGAGAGCCAGTGTGGTGTAGTGGTTAAGAGCATGGGCCTGGGACTCAGACGATCTGGGTTCTAGTCCCCACTCAGCCAACTGGGTGACTTTGGGCCAGTCACAGACTCTCAGCCCAACCTACCTCACGGGGTTGTTGTTGTGGGGATAAGATGGAGGAGGAGAATGATGTAAGCTGCCTTGAGCCCTTTGTAGGAAAAGGCAGGATATAAATCAATAAATAAATAAATATATAGATAGATACAGATAAAAGTATGTATAGCAACTGTAATCTGAGTAGGGATGAGTGAAAAAGTTATTTTCACATGTGTTAAGACTCTTCAAACACCACCTTGAAACTTGGCTCACCTCATTTCCCATGTTTTAATGCATGTTTTTATCATTTGATTTTAATTGGAATGGTGCACATTTCAAACAGCAGAAGCATGAATTTTTACAAATCTGCATTCCTTTAAACATGAATGCAAATTCAGAAATTTCTGAACATGTTCAGAGAACATGCTCTTCTGTTCATATTTGCATTTGGAGTTGTGAGCAGGGCATATTTGTAAACATAAATGTAGTTCTTGCATAGCCCTAAATCTCAGTTCTATTAGTGCCGCTCCTTATGTGGCCCAATAACTTATGAGTGCACAAGAGAAAGCTATTTGCAGCCTTGCACGTACCCAAGGCTTGTGGGGGCAGGGGGGGGAGAGAACAAAAATGGGGGGGGGCTTTAGGAAAAATCCTCAGGGGGACACCCTTCCACCAAAAGAAAAAAAACCCAGTCAATTACGATTAAACATGGTCAGTGAATACTGACTCTTAATGTCTCTGTGTGTGGCCGGGGAATGGAATAAGGTGTCCGTAATCCTGAACAAAGCCCCACATTTAGGTACCAGTTGCACTTGTGCTTCACACAACAGAATTATTCTGCTTAGAAATGGACATACCAACCTACAATCTTTGCTGCATCAGACCAAAGGCCTCATCAGTCCCACATTCTATTCTCACAGTGGCCAGTCAGAAAGCTCACAAGTAGGACATGAGTTCAATAGCCCCTCATGCTCCCCGTGCCCTGGTTCCAATCATGGAGGAAGATAGCCATTGTGACTAATAACCATTGATGCAATCTCCCTTTAAAGCCACCCAAATTGGTACATGTCACTACAGTTTGTGCTACCAAATGCCATAGTTTAACAATGCACTGTGTGAAGAAATCCTTCCTCTATCCTTAACCTTCCACCACTCAGTTTCATTGGATGACCCCGATTTTATGCACCCTTTCCACCATTGCTCTATGTTCATTCTAACACTAATTCGCCTTCAAAGCACTTTTAGTCCCTACTAACAATCTGAATTCATGATATCTGGCCATCATCTTCCTGAAAAGGCATTGCACAGAACATGTGAGATGCTGCCAGAAAGAAACAAGACTGGAATTTCCATCTTTTCCTGCAGAATTTAGACACCCATATAAAAGTTGTTTACAAGATGTTAGTTCTGAAGATCATGGGCTACCGTTGGAGAAAGTACATCCTGCATATAATTTGATGTTAGATATATAAGAAGATTATTGGTTGAACACATGGATATAAGTTTGGCAGAAGCAATGGCAAATTGTGGCTGTCCACTTATGGGGAGAAGGAAACTTAAACTGTAAGGCATACTTACTGAGAGGAAAGGGAAGCTTCGGATTCTAAGCCAAGCAACGTGGAGAGGTCAGGGACGTATTTAGGAAGAGTAGTCAGAGCAGCTCCCCTGCTCCACCCCTAGGCCTGCTTTGCTTTAGACTACATATGATTATTCCTCTATAGCACCTTTTATCTTTGGCCAACTCACTGGAAGAATAAGCCACACTTGAAATAACTATTGTTTAAACCAGAGGCAGTCAACTAGGTGCCCTCCAGATGACAAATGGGTGTTGTCGCATGACCACTCCGTATCCTTGATCATTGGTTGTACTGTCTGGAACTGTTGGGGTTATACACCCAAACATCAGATTGCCTACCCTCGGTTTAACCTTTGTTATGAAAAAGTTGCATGGGTACTACATCCTCTGATAGTATCAGTGGGATATTTATTTATTTATTTATTTATTTGGAATTCTTGTATGCCGCCCCATTCGCATAAGCCTCGGGGCGGCTTACAACAATAAATAAATAATAACAATGCAAAACAATATAATGTAATTGGAGACATCCTGGCCATAAAAATAAAATAAATAATATTAACAATTAAAATGGCGTTTAAATAAAAAGGTCTTCACCTGGTGTCGAAAAACAAATAATGAAGGTGCCAGGCGGACCTCTCTGGGGAGCACATTCCATAGGTGGGGCGCCACCGCAGAGAAGGCCCTCCTCCGGGTACTCACCCTCCTAATATCTTTCATGGAGGGTTCCCGGAGAAGGGCCTCTCCCGCAGATCTTAGAGGGTGTGAGGACAAGTATGGACGCAGGCACTCCTTTAGATAACCAGGTCCCAAGCCGTTAAGGACTTTATAGGTGATAATTGACATTGTTTGGGGAAACTCTCTGACTCATATTTCAATAGTCCCCCACTACTGCATCCTTTGTTGGACTCCAAATATCACCACTTCCAACTGATGGTCAGAGATGATGAGCTGGTACTCCAACAACATCTGGAGGGCCACAAATTTCTTCCATCCCCATTTTCCATTTAGCAGAAGGCATGATTGAAATTCAGCTGTGGATGTAAACTTTGGGGGCAGTGTAAGATGTGATTTGGAGATCCATTATCAGATCAGCTGACGGCTTTTTAGACTGAACAACAACTGTGAGGGACCTTGAGATGCAGCACTGTAAGTTGTCTTCTCCTGAGTCAGCTGACTGGCCCATCCAGCCCAGAATTTTCAGAAATGGCTGGCAGCTGCTCTCCTGGGTTTCAGACATGAGCTTTTGCAGCCCTGCCTTGAGAAGCTGGGGGCTGAATGTGGGCACTTCTGCATGGACATCATTCCCTGTGCTATGGCCCTTTCAATTGGTTCAGGCTCATGGTACCTGGTGGAAGGAGAACTCTCCTGTTCTGCCCACAGCACAGGACATGGGAGATTGGAAACTGGGCAATGGCTCCAGTCCTGGATGTGAGCCAGAGCTTGTTAGCCTGCAAGCAGTGTTTTCAGGAGAACACAATTCCTGAGCCTGAAGTCTCCATGAAATCGACCAAGTACCTCCTCCACAACACTGGCAATCAGCAAGGAGGGAACAAGTAGGAAATAGATGATGGGCTTCAAGCTAGGAAATGGACCCTTTAAGCTCACTGCTCCCCAGAAAAGAAGTGGGGCCTTAAAGGGGAAGTCTGAGTTGAATGGCATGGAAGACCACATTGAATATATCCCCCTTTGCTGCTGTATATGCCAGTACTATAGTGCCTCAAAAGCAATTAGGATGCAGAAAAAGAGTGGGAGGAGGAGGGAAACGAACAACCCAGGGATTCAGAAAGCAAATTATGGTTTGATCATCTAGCAGGCACACTTTGAGTAGGGAAAACCATGGCCCGGCAATGGGTTAAATAAAACATGTGTTAGCAGTATATTCAGACCAGGCCTATCCAAGCCTGTGAATTAAGGAAGCTGGTAATGCTCTCTGGTGGTAAAGTGCCATTTCATCAACTTCAGTCAAGTGATTTGCTTGGTCCATGGAAAATATGCATAGTAAAAATGACATGCAAGTTGGGAGAAGCCACATATGCATTGAATGGAAAAGATTTGCAAATTGCCCTCAAGGACAGATCATATATCATGATGTTCAATCTGCAATAGCCTTGAAGGATAAGTTAACCCATGGCTTCTGACACTGTGGGCAGTATTCCAGGTGTGTTGGATCGCCACTCAACCCATATTTGATCCTTGAGTGTGGATTGTCTGAAGCCAGTCTCCATCTGCCTAGTTTCCATAAACCTCTGTCTGGGCAGTTCTACTTTAGACTGCAGGAGGGCATCTTACTTGGTTGAATACCCTTTCATGTGAAAACAACAGCCCTGAAAACTCAGAACTCCAGGGAAAGAGTAATTTAGCTAGAAACTGCAGTGAGAGAACCAGGACTGATAGCTCCCTCCTAGATAACTCTAAAAGAACGTGATTGATTCATGGCTAAGAGTTGTTCCAGTGGCGCAGTTAGGTCACTTTAGTCTTTGAACTTAACACTTTTACTGGGTGGCAGTGAGGCAGTGGTGTTTTTCTGTAGCTGCTCATATATTCATTTCAGTTACTGAACAACTAATCAGCTCAGTTACTCCCAGCGTCTCCCCTGTTCATCCTGATGATGAGGCCCTGAATCTCTTCTTGTAGCCTGGAGTTAAACCACAGCATTTGTTATGACAAGGCATGGGGATTGCTGACAGGTTGGAGAGCTTTTAAAGGGGATTAGACACATTAGTGGAGGAAAAGGTTATCAATGGTCACTTAACATGACGACTCTGTATTACTTCTGAGATCAGAGAAATTGAGGAACGTGAGTAGAAAGTAGCATTGTGCTCATGTCCTGCTTGGGAGTTCCCTGAGGCACCTGATGGACACTGTGGGAAAAGAGTGGCCCATCCTGAACTAAATGGGCCTTTGATCTGATCCAAGGTCTATCTTTTTCTTATATTCCCATATCTTCTGCTCCAAAATCCTGCTCTAATGTAGCACTCGGAAAGAAGTCCGTTTGTGCAAACAGCAAGGAACAAAGTACTCATGAGCCAGGAACTCATGTAAAACTGCAACTGCTTGTCTATGATCTGTAAATTTTGTCATCT